ATCGATTAATTGTTAATTGGAGTATAGAGACTGTAAAACATGCCTTTAGCTGACGGAGCAACCCACTTAGAGCAGCAATTATATCAAAATAGTACAAAATATGTAAACTTTTTTATTTAAGATTTGAAAAAATCTTTTTTGATTGTCAATATGCTCTAACCAGAACTCCTCAAGTGGAAAAGTTTTAGTTTACCCTGGTTTTATTTAGTAAAAAATCTTCTTTAAGGAAACTTTGGTTGTCCAGTTATTAACTGATTAATCGAAAAAAACAATCGACAGATTAATCGATTTGCAAAATAATCGTTAGTTGCAGCCCTAGATCTGATGTTCTCAGACTCTTTTTAGTTAATAGCTGTGCTGCAGCATTTTTGAACAGTCGCTAATCCTTAAATATAATCCATAATCTTGTTTGGATTCAATAAAAGGATATATTTACTGTTTTCAACAGGTAACTTTATTTTAGCTGACTGCCTCAGATGAATTTCAAACCTGCCCCAATTTGACTCCATCTATTTCAACTAATAGCTTTATAATTATCGTTCCAACAAACTGAGCCCAATTCTCAAGATTTATAGAAGCTTTAATCAAATACAAAAAAAACATCTATCCTGTTTATAATGAAGTAGAAAGTAACGTAGATTGCAGGAGTCTCTAGGTTTGAATGTCTAGTCTTCCAGAATGGAGGTCCATCAGAATTTAGTTTGAACATAATGTGCAGCAGGTATACATGCAAAAATAGAAAGAGCAAGAAAAGCAAGTTCATGGTTATTTATCCAAAGATTAAAACCTTTTTTTTATGATCTGCAGTCTATTATTTAGAAGCTTTCATGATTAAAGACCTTTTTATACAAGGAGATATAAAGACCTCTTAGTTTATGTGAAAATGTGTAAAACCTCATTAGAGATAGAGGGCTTTGATATTAGCGAGGCTTCATCTCTTTATTCGCTTGCTCGCTCTTTCATTTATTGTGTTGGTGATAGGGGCGCTTTGAACTTGGATGCAGAGTGTGCTGACTCATTAAAGAGCTTGAATTTGAATTAAAAAACATTCACCAATGCTGCATCCACAATGAGACGGTGGAGTGTGTTTGTTCCTCATGGTGCAGGTGCTTCTTTTCCGTTTATTTCATCAAACACTAGCAGGCCGCCTGTCCACTCTGTTACATGGATGTTGATCGGATCAAAACCAGTTGGCTCCTATGGATTCAGCTGACTCCCCATTTATATCTGCTTTTTTTTCTTCTTATATTTCCATGCAACATCATATCTTCACTGTCTATATTATATATTTTTTATATTCTGATATTTATCATCCACATATAATAAGTAGTGATACTGGGTTGTTTCTTAATTTTCCATTCAATTGTGCTTAAAGGGTAGCCTGGTGAGACCATCCTGATCTCGCGAGCTTTCAAGGTTTCACNTACATACATACATACATACATACATACATACATACATACATACATACATACATACATACATACATACATACATACATACATACATACATCCATACATCCATCCATCCATCCATCCATCCATCCATCCATCCATCCATCCATCAATCATCCAACACAATTCAGTACAAAGACAATGCAAAGTGCTTTACATGAATAAAATATAGGGAAATAAAATCAAAGCAAGTAGGAAAAAATAAAAATATAAATAAAATAAAATGGTGCTAAAGCCTATCTCTAGCTGTCAATGGGCAAGAGGCAAGGTGCAACCTGGACTGGTGACCAGTCTATCGCAGGGCAACACAGAGACAAACAGGACAAACAACCATTCACACACATCTAAGGAGAATCTAGAGAAGCAAGTTAACCAAACAGTCTTTTACATATATTACGTAAGTGTGCATCTGTTGCAGTTATTTGTCTATTTACTGGACAAAAAGACAGGGTTCTGTTTATTGCTCAATTTAATGTATCCTTGCTCTGGATATGTTGTTTGTTTTTTATTGACTCTAATAGCCTTTATATTTTCCAATCTATTTTTCAAACTTTTCTGATGTTTCCTCTACTCATAATATTTCTGTTTATTGTAAATACTGTTTTTATCTCTGCAAACTAACCTCAGTTTATTATTCTGACTTCGTCTATACAGATTTTTTTTTTTTACCATTTAATTGTTTTTCATTAATTGACAAGAATCAATTATAATTGCTCTGTTTTATTTCTTCTTCTTGTGGACAGTGGTTCTTTGGGTTGAAAGAATCTACTCTAACAGCTATTTTGTATTCTGTTACACCTTATGTTGAAAATGTAGGTTATTAGTAACCTGCTGCTTTCTCCTTTTCATGTCACATAAAAAGCAACTAGGTTGAGAGCTAATGATGCTTTAAAAAAGTCCCCGAGCAGAAACGAAAGTGTTCAGTTATTGTTAGCTGTAATTAATTGCTGCTCTTAGGTTGGCATGTGGTTTTGTTTTCTATAAAAACAGCCACTTAAAATCAATTTACTTGTTTTAGACGAACAGAGACTAAAAGAGTTCAGCTCAAGAAACTGTTGAGCATTATCGCTACAGGGGGAATGTTTGGTGCTTTTTTGGCTCAAACAATCAAGCAAAAATAGAAAAGCACCATTTCATCTGAGTGAAATCAGAAAACCGAATTAACAACAGTGATGTCCCAGCATGTTTTAAATAAACGGTTAAATAACTACAGTACAGAATCTCAACTTAACAGCAGCATCCTCGCCAAAGTCGCAGCTTTGGTGTTACGGTACTTCCTCCGCCTCGAACATACTGCACATGGCTGTTCTGTTGGATGGTTTTCACACTTTACTCGAGTTCCACACTTTTGCAAACCAGCCCTGCAGGCCGAAGCTGTTGCCACGGCAGGCAACGGTGGACTTAATGCACAGGACGTGGCCAGCATCCTGTCTCCTCGAACACCCTGTCATTCCTGTTAATGAGCGCCGCATGAAATCCGCTGCGCCATCAGGGCTGCGAAATCTCTCCAGTCATTCAGAGGCCGCTCAGCAGATGAGTGGAGCCTGTCTTGCTCTTCTAGCTGAAGGAGGAGGAGGAAAGTGAGACGATCTGCTGATTGTGTATGGAAATGGGAGTGGTGGAGTAGAAAAACACCGGCTCTGAGTTAGACAGTGAAAGCTGAAGATCACTAATCAACAGCAAGGGTCTAGTATGCAAATATCCAAACTTTCCAACCTTGGAATTGGGTCTTAACAACGTCCCTCGTGACAAAGCTTTTTATAGTCTGTGATTTGCATCCCTCAGCATCATGATGTAAGAGCATAGCTGGTTCTTGCTGTAAGGCTCACTAGGCAGATATAATAATCACTATCTATCTGTATAAGACTATAGGATAATTCTGCATTGTCTTTATGAGAGGATTTAAAAAATTTCAGCTATGATCCTGAAAAATGATAGTGCCACCGACTGCAGAACCCGCAAAAAGATATATAATTACTCTTATAGATATATATCAGGGCTCCATGTTAACCATCGCCCGATCGCCCGGGGCAAGTAGTTTTTATTGTCGGAAGAGTACAAATTTTATTGCATTTGCCTGCTGGGCATATATCAATATATTTATCACTTAAAATTACTTTAAAATCAC